GTTGATGCGTTAGGATCCAATAGAACACATCTGTCATAAATGAAGACGATTAAGGAGATGATGCGATATGTTCTGCAGATCAAACGGCGGACGAGCGGGAGCAGTGGTCCTCGGCAGCGTGGAGGAATCATGGGGACCGGACCGATGGGCCCGGTGAGGTGGATCACGACTACGCCTACGTGTGCGACGTGCTCCGCGTGTCCGACCGCAACGGGGACGCCTCCGACGCCGTGTACACGATCCTCGAGAGGCGCTGCTGCCGTCACCGCGGCGCGTCCCGTGCCGGCAGCCTTCACCGCCGGCTCCTCTTCGACACCGTGGCCGAGATCCTGGAACGAAGCCGCGGCGTGTGCCCCTGGGAGGCCTTCTCCTGCGCCGGACCCCCGCAGGCGGACGGCGGGGAGGAGGTGGTGCGGCAGGTGTGGACGGAGGTGCGGCGCATCCGGGAACAGGTGGCGGCCGATGGCCAGGACGGCGCCGCGTGCGGGGCCGTGCGGAAGGACATGGCCGCCAGGCACACCGAAGGGTGGAGCCTGCCCGCTGTCGAGATCTCCGACGCTGTTCTCCTGATCGAGCGGCTGATATTTAAGGATCTCGTCGTCGAGACCATCCTCGGCCTGGCCGACGCCGCCAACGAGTCCCGCCCCCTTCTTTCCCGCCGCAAGCTCCTCTTCTAACAAGACGACCAACGGTTGTCATGTAACGAGTTCCAACGGTGTGTACACGTTTTCTACTCGAAAAGGATCCTCGAGTGGTGGTGGATTATTTTGAGGTTTATTATGGGTCATTAAGAAGGTCAAAATACATCTATGCATTTTGTACTTGCTTGCATATCTCCAACATGAAAATATCATCCCAATAAAAAAAAAAACCAATCATATCCATTGTGTAAGATTTTGTGTCTCATCCCATTTATTTCAAATTTCATATGTAGAGCATAGGTAGTATGAAGAATATAAATAAATCATGTCTCTTAGCATACCTGAACAAAAGGTTTTGTGGTGCTTTGTCAATAGTTCCATGAAAGGCTTCAGACTTATTAGCATGACTCTTTTCCAATACATTACATAACAAGCTGCCTTAACTGTCAATTAATTGCAATTAATGGCATTAAATTATCATTGCCATTTGACATCACCACTGATCAGAATTTATCATTGCCTTCAGGATGACAGAAACTGCTAGGTGGATTTGCTTCTGTTCTTTTTCATTGGTTGGAGCAGTCAGTTCCAAGTGTAGCAGTGAGTGAGTGAGTCAGCACAGTAGGTGTTAACTTCTGCTTCATCCTAATGATTCAAGTGTTGAATCCAAGAAATTCTTAATGGAGCATGTCAGTCATTTTAGATCCCTACCACATGCTTAGTGGCTTCCAACTACACCTATGCCATTGATTCCATTGTGCATCACTAGTGTTCCTCTTTCAAGAGATCTGGTACTGTTGTCAATATGAATTGTTTAGCTCTTTCAGAGTCCTTCATACTGATCTTGAAATCCCAGTCTGATGGTTCCATATAAATTGCATCAAGATACTTGTCATATCATTTAAATGTAGTTAGGGCAAGTAGAAAGGCATTAGAGATTTCAAGATAAGATAAGAGTGTCCTGAAGATCTTTACATCCAAGCATCCAGACCAGGAAATATGTCACTGTTCTACATTTTTTTTAGTAACTGTGGTTAACATTGACAGTAAAATGTATGTAGTACAGTTTAAATCTTTTCATTTTAAGAAAACTTCATGAAATTAAGTTTATATTTGGTGCAATGCAATCTGTTCCCTCAAGGCTTTGACCTTCCTTTCATCTGCAAGTTTATTCTCTTTACCTTTTCATCAACTGGAGCACTTCATACTATGTCTCTGCTTTGCTATACCTGCAAAAATAAGAAAGAATAAGAAAGCAGCTGCTTTGCCATATCTACATGCTTGGGTTGATGTCATTACAGGATTTGTGGTAGCATGGTTGCTTTAGTGCAGGATCATCAAGAGGTGGTTGCTGACCAAAGATCATCTCACAGCTCATGTCTTCAAAATCTGGAAGTCAGCATGCATCATAACCATTTGACATAGGTCATATCTGTTTTTGCAGAAGTTCAGTAGATAATAATACAAGAATACAAACTATGTCTTCTCCATACAATGGGTGATTCTTTAACCTCCAATATCTTGTCTGTTCTTCCAACCATTTTATTTATTGAATTCGAACAAAGATTTCCTTCAGGAATAAACTAGATTTTTAGACTGTAAATCTTAGTTGCTTCTTGCAGTTGTCCAAATCAATATGGTGGTATTTGCATTAACAAACTTTGTGATAATTTTCAAAGTACTTGCACAAGTATTGGAGCACAAAACTTGACTTTCTATTCCAGTGGTTGATACTAGTGTCCAGTTGAGGGGAAGTGATGAAACAAAGAGACATTTCTTCTCAAACACCTTGATGAATGGAAGAATGTGGAGCACAACAATGGCTGATGTAATCCATCTTTACTCATTGCATAAAGGACCGCAGACAGGGGAACTAATCTCCTAGAAAAATCTAATAAAGAAGACGATAAGAAGTGCTTTACACTCCCCTAATCTATGAAAAGATTAGTGTTGTGATATTTTGAAATCACTTTCTGTGGAGAATTTTTACATATTTCATTGTCAGATGGAGATGAATTTAATTCTCCATTCTTTCATTGTTGTATTAGCAGTTTAATATTTCATTTGTTCTGGAAAAACCTCCTTTTGTAATTTCCAATTGACATGATGCTTATCCAAATATACAAGGAACCTTCCATCAAAAAAATATAACAAGTTTTGGTGCCAATTTCAATCCAGAAGTATAGTTGTTGAGTTTATAGACCGATGAGTTCGGATATCCTGGAATATGGAAATATCAACCAGAGGTATTTCATATGGTTCAAATGTCCTACAAATTCTCAAGGAGATAATATCTAATTTTTACATATCTTTGAGCAATCATGTCAACAAGTTATAGGATACTACAAAATATTATCTGGTAAATTAGAATTGCAATATGATAGGCATATATAGGAGGAACAATTCTTTGAGAGTGATCATTTTTAAGGAGCATACTTGGAACCATATAGATAGGCATGCCAAGTGAATCCTGGATGAACTTCTGACTTGGAATCTTGCATAAGTTTGTGCACATCCCAACACAGTTGGTGCTCTCAAGAAACCTACATGGCAGAAAATTTTTCTTCTTGAAAAGATTCAGAATAACAAAATCTTGATTTGTGTCTTGACCAAAATTGACAAATGCTCGATTATTGTCCCTAAAAAACCAAAGGATTAATATTTGTCTATGATATGAAAAGGGATTAGAGTATACCTGCATTTGGGGATGTAAACCACATTTTTCTCTGATTTCCCCTTGATTTCAGATTTCCTGACCTACCATGACAAGTTTCAGTATCATTTTAGATTTATCATCCAAGAACTTCCAGTCTAACAGCAGTCAGCTATTAAAACAAGCTACTAAAAGCAGTCCGGGGGTATTTTCATACTCGGTTGTAATTTATATGATTTCCTTCCAAATGCTAGAGATGAAATCTTCATGCATAGACTATTGGCATAAATTATAGAGGATTAGGGTTTGTACCTCGCAGCGGCCAATCAGCCAAGGGAAGAACATGGTAGTGAAAGCTGCAAAGTACTCTCTTGAAAATGTTGAAGGTGGAAGTAAAATCTTTATCTGGAATTTCAGTGTCAAATTGCATTAGCAATCTAGTGCTTCCGAGGACAAACAAAAAACATCATCTATGTATGCTGTGTCGCAAACAATAAACTTGTAGGGAACATTAGATTTCTTCTTTATCCAATGTTTCTTGTCGGCATGTTGTAGCTGAAACTCTAAACTTTTACTGCAGTACAGACTTTTGCAGAATTGAGAATTTACTTGTGATCATACGACTGCAGAGTATGTGAAAGACATGGATCATTGATGAATGATAATCATAATCTAAACCAAATTGTGTGGATGTTGGCTAAGGATGATATGCTTAAAACACATTCAGGCACACTTTGGTTCTCCATATTTGGGATTGATTAATATGGCAATTGGAAGTCAACTTGCCATTGTTAGAATGGCTGATGGAAAGGCCTCCTGGAGAGATCTGATCACCAAGCCCTGCTGTGCTTTGGTATCAAATTTCTTAGAAATCATGATTGCTGCCGCAACTAAGCTCTCATATCCTTCCTTCTTGTTTGTCATGCCTGAGAATCAAATCAGCTGCTTTCAGGTTATTCTGCACAGAAAGTAATTCTGTAGAAGAAATCAGCATCATCACTCATCTCTTCTTTCTCTGTTTTAACTCAACCGTAATAAAATCTCCACCAATATAAGCATTTGCATTTTCTCAAAAAAAAAAAAACATCTTAAGATGTCTGTGACACCATAACAAGCTTTTACAAGAGCCTAAAAGAATCCACTTATCAACAAATTGAATAATATATGGTGTTAAAACCACTAGAAAATTTTAGCATGTGAAAGAAAAAGAGTGACACATGATATTTTATTTTTTTCTTCCTCTATAAATTCTATTTTTAGTGATGAGAACTCTCCTGTTTTCTTTTTCCAAAACAGAAGGAGATGTAAAGACATAGACAAACATCCTATCTCATGGCAAGTTTAATTCATAGGGACAGTCCTCCCTTCAAGAAAAGCCAATCCTATGCTCGAGCAAAATTGACTAACAAGTCAGAGAATAAGTATTCTCTCCATAGATATGTTTTAACTTTATAATATGAGAAAAACAGCAAGCAGACCAAATATGTCTCTTTTCTTGCTAAAGGCAGGTTTTAGCGCAAAAATAGGCTCGAGACCAAAATAAGCACCATTGTAACCTGTAACTCCATTGCTAAGTTTCTTTTGATTGTGTGTTGACTCTATGATAAAGACTTGGATTTGGTGACACACAAAGAAGAGGTTACCAAAAGAAGAAGAATAGAAAGAAGAACGAAATGCATATCTTTGAATGAAACACGCTTGTGTTCTTCAGAACGATATACTTAAAAGGGTAGAAAGCACATGAATAACCTGTGGTGGCTTCAATGGCGCTTGAAAGGTGGTGGATGGCGAGACGCTCGAACCAGTTGTCCTTGTACACAGTCTTGTCCCTCGGTGCCGCCGCCGCCACCACCCTCTCGTCGGTGGTCACCCTCATCACAACCACCGAACGCCGGAGATTTCTACTCGGCGGCCTCTGTTGGCCCAACTCCATCCCTTGTGGTCTTCTGCTCCCTGGAAGACTTCGTAGCCCCCCATGATGAAGAATAGTAGCTCTCATTATGTGTGTGCGGAAGTGTGCGTCTTTGTGAGTTTATATACTGATATTTCAAGGAAGAAGATTGAGAGAAGAAACAAAGAAACAAAAAAGGTTTAAAGAGCATCTTCGGGAGGGATGTGAGAAGAATAATAGATCTTTTGTTGCGTAGAGAAAAGAAAGGGACATTCTTAAGGTGCGAAGCTCATTGGATTCTCTTAAAGATCCTTTAAGGTGTGAGAGGTATAAATGACAGTATCAAGCATGCATGTCTTTTGCTATTAACTATTTGGAAATATATATAAGCTTAGTCATTTATTTCTGAAACAAAAATTCAAGGTCTGATCAAAATATGGACACATTGTTCTTGAGGTAGCCAAAGGTATCTTAGGAGGTATCGACAGAGATCAAAGAAGACAAGATGTCTGTTCCAATCCATACAAGAAAGGCCGGCAAGGATTTAGCTGAAGAAGATTCGCTACTGGAGAAATAAAATGTAATAAAATAAGATTAAAAAAATTCTACCATTAACAGCAAATGTAATATCATTTGCTGTAATTGAGGAGTTAATTAAAGTAAATCAAAGC